ATAAAAGATCATCCTTTACGTAGACAATTCTGTTTGCTTCTTGGTAAAAAGTTTTTCTCAAGGCTATGATAGAAACACTGTATATCTTACTTTTGATTAAACGTTGGAAAATCTATGTTATTCATCTACTAAGGCAAATGCCACTTTTCTTGTTCCCTGTACCTTCACATGTAAATACAGTTGAGAACCCAGACTGAGCAGAGATGCCTGCCTGGTGATCAGAAAGAATCTCGGGGCTCTCTCATCACTCTCTGGCCAACACCATCCACCCTTCAGGGAACCCAGGACTGGCTGGAGCTGCACTCTGGGACTCTGCCTCTTAGGATGGTTTATGATCAGCTTATATATATTGTCATTTCAGCATATAATTAATACAAAATGAGATACTTTGAAGTCATTTTTGTTACTCAATCTTTGAGTCAGTGTGTTTTTTACATCTACCACATCTCAATTCAGGCACTAAATTTTAATTAGATAATTGATTCATGTTTAGATTCAATTAAATTTACAATTAAAATATACTCACATCCTCAAGTTGTTTGAAACATATTGACAGGTTTCCCAAAAACTGAACTGATTATCAATTAAAAAATTTTAATTTAAATTAAGTCAAATTAAAATTCAGTCACACCAGCCCCATTTCAAGTGCTCAACAGTGACATTTGGTCCATGACTACAGTACTATACAGCATAGGTCTAAGGGCCTTAGTACAACCAGCATGACCCACATGATCTAGCCTCTCCCATAAACCCTGAGCCCTTGTTTCTACTGCTCTCACCCTCCAGCTTTCCCATTCTGCTTGGAACATGGCAGGCATCTTGGGAACTTCATGGGAGCTATTCTTTCTGCCAAAATGCTCTTTCCTCAAGTATCCCAATGGACTGCTGTTACTACTTTACATCTTTGCTGATACATTCCCTCATCAATGAGAGTTTCCATGACCACTGCTACTTCCTTCTCACTTCTCTATGATCTTTATCTGGGGTGTTTTTCTCCTGATGCTAATTTCCTCTGGTTACTGCTTGTCTCCCCACAGTGGAATTATAAACACTGTGAATGCAGGGCATATGTGTACTGCATCCTCAGTGCCTGGCACATAGCAGATGTTCAAATATTTGTTTAATATAATGAAAGATCATTTATAATTCCTAATTATTAATAGCTCTTGCGTGCATGTCTCTGTGTGTGTGCGCGTGCGCATGCACTCATGCACACTACTACTACTTTTTCTCCCTCTCTTCCTTCTCCTTTTCCTTTCCTTTTCATTATGATCATCCATCTTAAGAAGCACTTTCCCCTACCATAGTTCTTACCATGTACCCTATTAGGTCTCCTACAAAACCTTAAGTTTTATTGATGGGTAAGTGGGTGAGAAATACTTTCACTTCAAATATGGGCTTTGTCAGCCTCAGACATTCACATAAATATGGTTAGGAATTAAGAGCTCTTGTCAAGAGCTGTTCAGAACAAGGATTACAAAACAGTATGGGCCACAGGTAAGTTCCACCATATAAATGAGGATATGTGATTTAAGACAATTGATTATCCCCTCATTTCTTCTGTTACACAAAAATCAGTTATTCCCAAAATAGAGCTTATCTATGATTCTGGAATAGACAGTAATTACAACCTCATGCATATATGTATTTTAGCACTGTTTGCATAATGAATACTTGGCTCTGAAGAGATCATATAAACTTAGAAAATTATATCAACAGTATTAAAATAAGGATCAAATCATCAATAGCTCCATCAGTCATTTGTCAATCAAAAAGCTTAGATCCTGTTTATAAATATTTAGTATAAACACTAGTAATCTAATATAATGCAAAATTTTAATTATAGTAAAATCATAATGACAAAAAAGCTATCATCATTTTCAGAGAGCTCCTTTCAGTTTTACTGTATCTTTTATAATCTTCTTTCTGATGTGTTTCCAGGGATAATGCAGAAATTAATAAACTAGTTTTAATGAATGAAACACATTTTAAAAATGTTTCTCATCCTAAGATAAGTTTATGTATGCCAGTCCCTTTTGTGATATTGCATAATTACTGTCTAGGAGACAGTTTTCTCATTTGTCCATTTGCTTAATAGAATCTTCAGTGAGTGCACCAAGTTTCTCACTAGGGTAACGTCTTCCTATGGCTACCACTGCCTTTGTTATTTCAGGATGAGTTTCTTTAATGCTTTCTAATTAAATCTCTATTTGAAGACTCTCAAGGGAGTCAGGTCGTAAAGCTGCTCATTTGTAGTGAAATGGAGCATATGGAATGTGTGATGTTGGTCTTGGTGTCCCTGGAAGCTCACTATTTGCTACCGTTTGAATTCAAGATCCAGATAAACTCTATTTTAGCTTAGCTCACCAACAACCAGATTAAACAGAAAATTAGAATTGCACAGGGATTGGTTTCTTGCCTTATGTTTCTTGGCATTACCCAGTTGGTTTCTAATGTGTCCTTCTCACACTTCTCTGCCTGGTAAGCTAAAGTAACCCTTCTATAGTAACCCTTCAAGATGCAGGGCAATTTCCATTTTTTCTGGAAATTTTTTCTCCAATTTTCACCAGCAGTTAAATTTCTTACTCAAAGATAATACTGCCCTTTGCTCATAGCTCTTTAGACACTTGCTATTGCCTACTTAACTGTTTCTACTCCCTTCAAACGTATGAATCTTCCCCCACCCCTCCCATTCCCTTCTTCTTTGTCAGGCACCAGGTACTTGCATTCCATCTTTGGTATGTTGGATAGAGAGAATAATGTTCCCCTGAAGATGCCTGCATCCTAACCTTACTATTTGCATACATACTGTGTATGTAACTCTTCGTGCTCTTCATTCTTTGTGTGTAAAGTGGGGGTTATACGAATATTTATGAGAGTTTTTGGGAGAACAAAATGAATGACATATATACATCAGCACCTGGCATGAGTAAACACTCAAAAATGCAATAACTCTGAATAGTTCTTCACCCGCATTGTCTCAATTTGAGAAGTGCAAAACTCCATGAGGTAAGTCTTAACATTATGCCCAATTGCAGATAAGGTCACTGAGGATTAGAGAAGCTAAGTAATTGTGTGAAGGAAGGTCAGAACTTAGAATCTCAGCAACCTAGCTCCGAGATGTGTTGGTTTACATTACTAATTTGGATGACATATTATTTTTAATTCAGAAATGATTTTATTTTTAAAATTTGAGATTGATTTTCCAAATCAAACTGCTAAACCTTTATAGATCTAACAAACTGAGATCTCTTAAGGAACTGATGGGGTTTGGAGGAAGGGAAAGGACAATATAAAGTTCCCAGCATAATAATATTGAGTTGTTCACTGTTAAGGGGAGTTAGATTCAGAGCAAAAACATTCTCTCAAGTATGAATTCAAAGTGACATATTATAAGGGTGAGTCTGATGTTCACCCTTGGGCCTTATAGCATGGAAGAATCATGCATACTAAAAAGTCAGTAGCAGGGCGCCTGGGTGGCTGTGTCAGTTAAGCATCTGACTTGGCCTCAGGTCATGATCTCGCAGTTCATGGGTTCGAGCCCTGCATCAGGTTCTGTGCTCGCAGCTCAGAGCCTGGAGCCTGTTTCGGATTCTGTGTCTCCCTCTCGCTCTCTGCCTCTCCCCCGCTCATGCTCTGTCTCTCTCTGTCTCAAAAATAAATAAACTATAAAAAAAAGAAGTCAGTAGCTTATATGGTAAGTAAATTTTCCAAGAACCAGGTAATATATATCTTTTACAGAAAGGATATATACTTTTAAGTAAGGAGTTGGAATCAAATAAAATTATTCCAAGAGAAAAAGAGAAGAGTTGGTCTAAGTACCTTGGGTGTATTATTTCTCAGAATTTGCATTTGTTCCTAATGAGCACATTTACTGTTTATGAACTTTCATTTGGACACAAATGAAAATGTTCTAAACTTACAATTTATACAAAATGTTCTAAACTTATAATGCATGAAGATGAATGTGAGACTCAGCAGGTATCTCTCTTTTACTGATCTCTTTCTTCTCTCTCATCTCCCAGAGGAATAACTATTTTGACTTATGATGTTCATACTTTTACTACAAAGGTTGCTAATACATTTTTTTTCAGATTTTAAAATTTAATATATAGGGTAGTACCATAGTCTCAATTGTGCCCCCTGCACTCCCATTCATATGTTGAAACTCTAATCCCTAGTGTTATGGTATTTAGTGGTGGGACCTTGAGCAGGTAATTAAGTTTAGAAGAGCTCAGGAGGGTGGGGCTTGATGAGGGAGCATAAGGCAAGCTGACAGGACACAAACACCCCCTCCCCCAACCAGATGAGATACATGTCATATTCCTAGGGCACTCCTGGCTGCCCAAGAACAAAGGAATGGGGGAAAATGGTTAACTGATAAACATCATAGTCCTGAAAGACTTAAAAGTCTCCATCACCCCTCCATACTGATGTGGGAAACAATGGCAGAAGGAAATGGCAGATAGAACTAAATTTCCTTATACCCTGCAGCCCATTGACAAATATTGAGGCAGGCAGAATAAGACTTTTCTCCAGGAACTCCCTACTTTCCTAATGCTAATGCTTTGCTAGAGGGGAAAACAACCAGAGCTTGACAATAGCTAGGCCTCCACTATCTTGGAAGTCTTCTTTAGCATATGAAAATCTCACTGGAAACTGCCCCTGGACTTTACCTCCCCCAACCCCAAAGTATACATATAACCAGTCTCTCCTCAAGGTCCTGGGGCAGCTTCTCCTGTCCATGGGTCCTGTCCTTGAGATTCAATAAAATCACCTTTTTGTGCTAAAGAGTTCTTCAAGAAAGCTTTCTTGGCTGTCAGCTCCTGACCCCACAAACCCACTATCACTCCCCAAAAATCCTCATCATAGCTCACCATGGGATTAGTGCTCTTAAAAAGAGGCCCCTGAGAGTTTGCTTCCACTCTTTCTTTCTCCACCCTGTGAGGACACAATGAGAAGACAAGACGCTGTCTGAAAGTCAAGAAGAAGGTACTCACCTAGAACTGAATTTGCCAGCACCTCCAATTTGGACTTCCCAGCCTACAGAATGGTGTGTTGTTTAAGCCACTCAATCTATGGTGTGTTGTTATGACAGTCCAGGCCGACTAAGAGAGGCAGCAGAATGTAGTCTTCTGTAAATTGCTTGGAAGACTGCTTCTTTGAGAGATTAATCCACGATGATATTCTTCACTCTTGTTCATTCATTTTCCCCTATGATGCAGTACTCCATTAGAGACTATATGGTTATTCATTTATCTATTTTTACGTTGATGGTCATTTACATAGCTCCTTTAATTTTCATATAAAAACCCATGCTGTTTTGAATAATCTTACGCATCTTTTTGTGGACAAATGACAATTTCATCTGTGCATGGTTGGTGGTGGAATTTCTATACTGTAGTGTATGTATGTGTCCATCTTTACTAATTTTTGCCAAACTGTACTACAGAGTTAAAAGTTCTTCACATGTATGTCAACACTTAGCACTGTCAAGTTTGAAAATTGCCCATCTATTAAATGTGAGATGGTATTGTTTTTACTTTGATTTGCATTTAATTTTCACTAACAAAGCTGCTAAATATTTCATATGTTTCTTAGCCATTTAGACTTTCACATCTTTGAATTTCCTGTCGGTATCTTAGCCTAATTTTCTACTCAATTATTTGTCATTGTCTTAATGACTGAAAGAAGGGACTGAATTCTTTACTTTAAAAATATCTCCAGGGGCATATAGGTGGCTCAGTCAGTTAAGCAGCTGACTCTTGATATCAGCTCACATCACGATCTAACCGTTGTGAAATCGAGCCTCGGTGTGTCAGGCTCTGGGCTGGGTGTAGAGCTTACTTGAGATTCTTTCTCTCCCTCTCCCTTCCTGCTTGCACAGGTGTGTGCACGCACACCATCTCTCTTTCTCTCAAAAAAAAAAAACAAACCCAAAAAACCTCTAGTCAATATCAACTAATTAAATCTCCGCAGGAAGAACTTTTGCTACTCTATCAGTGGTATTTAGCCTCCTAACTAAAAACCTGTGTCTCCAGGCTACTTTTTGTTTTTTTTTTTTTTTTTTTTTTTAAAGAGAGTAATACATTCCTCACATATTAGCAGAAAACTTATTTGCCATTAAGAGAAAAATGTTATTTTACAATACAAATAAAAAACATCAAAGAGGATTTGGCACCATATAATTCTGATAAACTCTAGAGTTTCAGTACTCAAAGCTTTCAGGAAAAATACTGAATCCAGTCACTCTGGAAGTGATACAGATAACAGTACTGAGATTACTTTAATTTCTATTAAAGTACACAGACACTACTATAGCTTATCAAACAGGAATCTTCCCTTTCATATAAACAGAGATTAATATGGTAAGTGGAAAAGTATTTTTTTTGAAACAGGGTACTAGTACCAAAGCAGAATAGAACACAAATGTTACTAATTAAAGAACCAACAATTTATTTTATTTTTTTTTACTAACACACAGCCTGTTTTTCTATTGTGAGAACAATGTATGAACACTAGCTTGTTCAAGTTTTTAAAACATGAGTGAGGGGCCAACGTTTCCAATTTTGTCTCTGTCATCTGTCTTTTATAATCAGAGCATCCATCAGTGCAGAGTCTGAAAGGAATAATGCTAATAAAATTAGGGGACCCTCCCTCCCCTGTCTTTATTTCTCCCCTGTGGGCAGTTGTAAAGCTTCTCCTGAGCTCTGTGGAATTGCAACATAAAAATACAGGAAGTTCTTAGCAGCAGGGGCAGGTCAAGGAAGCACCCCCTGCTATTCCTGGCCTGTATTGATGGCCACATTCTAGTGCCATTCCCCTTAGCTCATTCACCACTGGGTCCTCCTCCACAAGGGCCCTGGAGTGTTTCTAAGCTACATTTATTATTCAACAAATACTAGGGTTCACAGTCCCTGACTGGAATGAAATCAATCTACATGTATCTTCCTTTTACATTTTGCAAAGAGGTTTGATTTTATCCATTAAAAACACGTAGGATTTGTAATAATAATTTACATGATTCAAAATTCAAAAGATACAAAATAGAGCACAAGGAAAATGCTCCCTTTCATGTTGATGTTATCCCTCTTCCTCAGACAACCAATATTAATGGTTTTACATGTGACTCTAGCACTATTTTTATTTTTTATCATATATATAACTGTAAGGCCACAAGTCTAAACGTCTAAACCAAACTGACTCCATGACAGGCTTTAAGTTTCCCCTCTAAACTAGAAGGCCTGAGTTTCAGCTTCCCCAAAACTATCAGGTAGTTACACATTGCCCAAGGCAGGAGAAACCACCCTTGCAACACCCAATCAGGAAAGGCCAGCGACCACCCTCCTCCACATTGTTAAGGGAAAGGTCTGGAGATAGAAACTATAGATAGGACCCTGTTACCTAATGTTAAAGTTAACCTGTTAGTCGCCGAACAAGACCCTAGGCTTGCTCTGTGATTGGTTGAATTTAAAGGTACTCTACATGTTGTAATTGGATCCCGCCAAAAGTAACGAATACTCTAGACAATGTGTATGGTCAAACCCGCTGTCAATGATGTTGAATAATTATGACTGGATCACTCTTCCCATGTTACAACTTCTGTAACTCCCCCATCTCAAACTCCATAAAAACCCTACTCTGCCCTTGTTCGAGGCTCTCACAATGGATTCATTGCGTTGGTGAGGACTGGGAGCCCGAGCTTAAGCCCATAATAAAGCCCTTTGCCTTTGCATACGTAACTCAGACTCCTTGGTGGTCTTGGGATTTTGGGGAGATCGCGATCTGGGCATAACAATAACCTTTTCATTTTTTAACATTTATTTTGATGGAGAAAGCGATAAAGAGAGAGTACACAAGGGGGGTAGGGTCAAAGGGAGGGGTGAGAGGGAGGGAGAGAGGGAGAGAGAGGGAGAGAGAGAGAGAGAGAGAGAGAGAATCTTCAAGCAGGCTCCAGGCTGTCAGCACAGAGCCTCACATGGGACTTGATCACACAAACTGTGAGATCATGACCTGGCCGAAATCAAGAGTCGGATACTCATCTTGACTGAGCCACCCAGAGGCCCCTAATCTCTTCATTTTTAAAGAGACATTAACATTATATTCACATGGATATGTATAGTGGTAGGCAGAGTAATGGTTCCAAAGATGTTCATCCCCAATCCTTGGAACTTGGGACTATGTTCTTAACACAGAAAAGGAGACTTTACAGATGTGATTCATAGGTATGTACCTGGAGATGGGGAGATTATTTGGATTATCCGGACAGGTCCAATCTTATCACTTGAACACTTAAAAGCAGAGAACGTTTCCCAGTTGTGATCAGAGAGGTGTGCCCACAGAGGAAGATTCAGAGTCTTTTTGATGTTGCTGCTTTTCAAGAGGAAGGAAGGGAACCATGAGCTAAGAAACACAGGTGACCTCTGGAAGTTGGCAAAACCAAGGAAACAGATTCGTTCTTGGACCTCCAGCAAAGAATACAACACGGACAACAGCCTGAATTACTCAGAAAGGACCCAGCCCTCTGTCTGACCTATAGAAATGTGAGATCATATATTTGTTTTGTTTTAAGCCTCTAAGTTTATCTTCATTTGTTACAGCAGCAGCAACAGAAAGCTACCATAACACATTTACCTTGTGGGTTTTTTTTTTTTTTTCATTTTTAAAAAACTAAACTCATTCCATATCAGTATATAAAGAGCTCACTCAGCTTAAATTCCATGCCCCTCACTCCCACAGGTGTATAATATCCCATCAGATCATTAAACTGCTATCACAGGTATTGAAAACTAGTGAAGTCTCTTTTGTTATTCCAAATAGGACACCAGTGGCATATCCTCGTATAAGTCTCTATTCTTACACATATCGGTCAATAGAAAGAGCAAATCTTAAGAAATGGAATTAACCATTCATGGGATACACATTTTCCACTTTGATTAATATTTCCAAATTAGACTCCTTAGAGGTTGTTTCAATTTACTTTCTACATCCTATTTCTACATACCTTTACTATTATCAAATATCAAATAGTATATTATCAAATATTTATCTTGATCTACTTGATAGCAGAAAAACAGAAACCTAGTTTAAATGCATTTATCTCTTGGGATGAGATAGGATGAGGTTCTTTTCATATGTTTAAAAGTTATTTGTATTTCCTGTTCTGTGAATCTCCCCTCTCCCTCCCTCTCTTCCTTCCTTCTTGCCTACCTTTCTTCCCTCTGTTTGCTTATTTTTTTTCTGCTAGGTTGATGGATGTTTTCTTATTGATATATCAATACTTACTATCTCCTAAAAAAAACAAATCCTGTTTCTTTTGGCTTTGCTTTTGGAAGTTTTATCAATGTAGATTTTTTTTTTTTTTTTTTTTTAATTTATGTCATTAACAGTGCCTGGGTGGCTCGGTAGGTTAAGGGTCTGATTCTTGATCTTGGCTCAGGTCATGATCTGACCCCTGAGGGAGTTCGGGCACCATATTAGGCTACACACGGTCAGTGCAGAGCCTGCTTAGGATTCTCTCTCTCTCTCTCTCTCTCTCTCTCTCTCTCTCTCTCTCTCGCTGGCCCTCCCTGTGTTCTCCCTCTCAATAAATAAATTTTAAAAAATTCTTTAATGTATGTCATCAAATTTATCAGTATGCGATTTAATTTTCTTAGATTTGTGGTTTTATTTCATATTTATTAAAGAATCTTCAACAATAAAACTTTTACACTTCCATGGGTTATTTAGTATTTTTATGATTTCAAAATTGACATCTTTGATTCATTTTTTTATGATGCAAGTTATGAAAAAACTACTTTTACTTTCTTCCAGAACGCTATTTAGTTGTTCTAACACCACTTATTGAATACCACACATTGGCTTTTAATGATTTTTAAAAATCAATTACCTTTAAATCAAAGTTTTCAGGTTTAAAAATGGATACATTGCCTACACCTAAAAGATTTTAACCTCAATTTACATTAATTGCATTAATATTTATTAAGCTTTTATAAAGGACTAACATATTTTCTGTATTTTTATGAATGGATAAATAATTTAACATATCTTGGAAAGAGATATAGTAGACCCCAGCTGGGTTGACTGTTCAGCTAACACCAGTTTATAAAGTGCCCATATCTGTCCTACAGATCTTTCTTTGAGAAATGGTTCCTATTCTCCCTGTTCTAGTCCTGGTCTGATTGCACTGACAGTCATGGTATCTTACCACTCTAGACACACATTTAAAAATATAATTCATCTTGGTCTAGTCATTGAAAGTAATTCATTCTCCTGCTAAGTTCTTCTTGAGCTCACTCCTAGATGGTCTGAGCTATCACAGCAAAGAAAAACAGGTATGTAAACTCCAGAACCCAAGTTTCTTTTTGCCTCTCACTTCTTTCTAGTGTATTATTAGAACAAGGTGGGGAGGGGGGAATTTTCTTCCATAATTCTGTTCCTTACCTTACCTTAATTGAGCTTGATGATTCATCCATAAAAGCTTGATCAACCATCATAAGGAGACGTTGGCTCTTAGAGCACAAAACCTTAATCATCCAGTTTTAGGAGGTAGAAAGATTTTCCTCCCATCCTGGATAGGAGTACACATGATTTTATTCCTTTCTGATACATCTCACTTCTGGGAATAGGCGAAAGAGCTTCTTTCTGAAGTAAAAAAAACACACAAAATATAAGATGAATTATTAGCAATTCAAAATCTGGCCACACCCATTTGTTTGAAGATTTTTTTTTTCTCTCCCTGAAAACTATGCCAATTTATCAACTTTGGATCCTAGGGACCTAGTACAAGTACAGAGAAGATACTTAGTAAATGCTTGTTTAATAAATGAATAAATGCATAAACAGCCCCTAGTTGGAGCTATTTCCTCTGGGAGAAGCTAGCAGAGATGACTCACTGCCTTTTGCTTAAGTAATTTTTCATACCATTCTTTGCTATTAGCAGTATGCCCTAGGAGATTTCAACTCCATGGCTCTTCCCATTGATGATTCATTGCCTTTTTTGTTGTGTCTTCCCTCCTTTGCTCAGGGCACGAGTGACCATCTTGGACCATGCTGTTCAGGCCATTCTGGCTACTTTAATTGGAATCTACAATTGCCAAGAAGAAATATGAGCTTAGCATTTCCTGATTTCTCAGAACATTATTCAAGAAAATGACTTTTCTTATCTCTTTTGGAACTTTCCATTTGCCCAGAAATGTTGATTCTCTTCCTGGATAGAGTAAATAAAACTGGGTCCCAACCCTTTGGCCCTGCCTACTCCCCAGCAGTAAAGGTAATAGTTCCTGAATTTACACCCATGAGGCACTGAACAATGATAGGAACTCTAGCCAGAGGACCTGCACATATCCTCTGTACATGTGCATGGCCTGGAGTACTGCCTTCAGCATTATTTGTGAATGGGGACACTAGAGGGATGAGAGCTGGATTCCTTCTCTAAAGCAGAAGATATTAGTTACCCACACAGTTTATTCAAAACTCCGGTTACTAACTCTGCCTGGAACCTGAGCTATGCATTTTGGAAAATGTCTCCTATGATTCTGATGGACATGCTAAGCCTTACTGTTGAGTGCTTATCACCACCAGTCCAAAAGTTGACTTCAAGGGTTAGCTTTGCCACCAGTAAGTTTTCTATCCACAGACAAGTTCCTTAACCATTATGATCCTCATTAATAAGCCACAGAAAATACAGCCTCTTTCCCAAATGTTTGTGAAGATTAAGTGATAGAACACATCTATAGTGCATGGCACATGGGAATTCAAGAAATAAAAATACTATTATATAACTAAGTGATGTGACTCTATTCTCAGGGAGAAGATGAAAGATGTATCTGTTCATTACGGTGTAAACAGGAATAAACATCTTTTAAAGAAAGGTAGATCTGATCCTACTTTAAAAATATTTTATTCTGGAAAACCTCATTTGGTGAAAGGATGGTATTAGAGTGAAATCCAATAAAATACAGGCTAAGTCCATGGAAAGAGCTATCACAGAACCCAATGAAATTCAATTTAATTCTTTACCAAAGCTTATAAATAAGTGCTGAAGTTGACTTTCTCCATTTAAAGTGCTTTCAGCTAAAACACCTCAAATCCTTTTATTTTCCTTTAGTCGCCTTTAAATGAACACCTTAGTTATTTCTGACATCTCTAATCCAACCTGGAGTCCTCCATACATTCTATAGCTGCTATTTATTCTCTCCAGAGTCTAATAGTTCCTGTCTTTCTATAAGATAAATTCTGAGGCCTCTCCCAGATTTCTTTCTCTTGCTTCAAGTCAGAGAATTTACTTCAAAACTCATCATTTTTCCAAGCAGTAGACCCAAGCCCTTTCATTCATAAAAGGGATATAAGACTGTAAGAAAACTTGCCTCACTATTTTTGAGCTAAAAGATGATAAAGCAACAATTATGGAATCCATAGCTGGTGATTAATTGAAAAATCTTGGATTCCAATGTGGAGGGCGGTGACAGAGAAAACACTGTAGGAGTGATAACTTTAGGGGGATTCAGACTTAGAAATCTTAATGTCATAAGCAACGGAACTGAGTGCCATTGCTGTCACTCAGAGCAAAATCAAGTTGGTCAGATGTGGCATTCACAGACCAGAACTATAGCTTAGAAAGATAAATTTTTCTTCCTCTAACAGATGCCTACCCCAATTCTTTCTTTTCTTTTTGAAGAATCATGATTTAAAAGAAGTGTAGTAGTACAGCAATTAATTGGTGATAAATTAGAAACATCGATAAAGTGGCCAATATATAGTTGAAAAAGATTATAATTTAAATATGCTCTTTGAGCAATGGTAGGTAGGTAGATACTTCCGTGAATAGAAAGTACTAACTTAAAGTGGCCACACTGTTATAGAATACATGATACATATAACGATATGGTGCACAGTTGAGGAAGAAAACAATGAGAATATACATTTCCCTTAGTCACTCTTGGTTAAAGATTTCAATAATTCTGTAATAATGAGAAATTCAATATATGCTATAATAGTTCTAATTTTATTATGGGCATGTGGGTGTATAGTAATTCTTTATCACATTCCATAGTACAGATATTCCCAATTAAATTTCCTTGGTACTTTAAAAAGTTTCACCCCAAAACAACTTCCTCAAGTATTAGTTTGTATTTTAAAAATTGCATTAATATATATTTTAATTTAAAAATAACTCAAATTGTTACCTTGAATGCACAAATTATATGTTGTCTTTAGCAGCACCATTTTTTAACTTTTAATTTTTGTGTTCCTCCTTTTTTTAACAAAAAATTAAATCAAAGTAATACATCACATGAATATTGCTTAAAATGCTAAATTTATTCAATCTTTTAATAATTATTTGAGTTCCTACTATGAGTCAGCGATTTTTCTAGGCACTGAGAAATTCAATAATAAACAAAAAAAAAAACATAAAAAACTCTATCCTGATGAAGCCTATATGCTATTGTTGCTCAGATGATGCAGTTATAAGATCTATGAGAAAAATAAAATGAAAGGGGCAGAGAAAGGCTGTACAGCATAGGAGCTGGGGGGAAATACAGTAACAGGTACCAAATTTAATTATGTCTTTACTTAAAGATCAAGCCCACAAGTATAGTGTTTCAGATTTCCCTCTTAATAAACCAATTCTGTGCATTTCATTGTAATTTGATTTCATATACCATTTCAAAAAAAGTGTCTGTAATATATGATGATGACTTAGTAATTGGCTTCTAATGAATTTAACTTCTGCTTGTTTCTGGATCATATCTATGTTCCCATCTTTTCATTAAGATACCTAAATCAAAGGAGAAAATGTATCTTATGGTTAATGGATTTCTTAAATCTCTTTAATTCACAATATATCTGTCTAGAATACACCAGACATTAGTCTAAGCTATGATGAGTAAGGTCATAAAAAAACCTCCTGCATAGCTGGGAACACATACTGGGTTGCAATGCAGTATGATGAGAACCATAATAGAGAGAAGCACGAAGTCCCATCAAAGTAGAAAGGAAGGCGTGCCTTATTAACAGAAGTAACCAGGGAAACAGAATGCTTTAGAGAAGAGGGGAAATCTAAACTCTCTGGAATGATGAATAGTCCAGACTGTAGTCAGAGCAGGACATTCTAATACATGCTGTGTACAAAGGCATAGAGCAGTTAACTTGGTTTAGGCATCAAGAAAACTCCAATAGTTCTACTGGAATTTTAAACAAAGAGTTCCTAAAAGTTATGAGTTTGTTGGGAGGGGAGCTGAGTGATAAAAAGCAAGTATCTTGATAACTTCAAAATTTCTGGGCCTTGAGTCCAGTAGCATCTGCTTTGCCTATGTCTACTGCCCCGTCCACTGAAGGGTGCTAGTTTTCAGCACCTACATTTCTTATTGGAGGGCTCTTCTGTCCCTGAAGCCTGCTTTGCCAGGGTGTACAGCAGGTCAGAAAGGCTGGGGAATTACTGCTTCCTGAGTTCACTGCTTATCCAATGTCCTTAGTAGTTGGTGTTAAAATATTTTTATTCCCTTGCCTGTATAGTGGAACAAACTTGAGGAGTGTGTTCTTCCTCATAGCCAAATCCTCAGGATGGATGCCAGCACTAATGATAGTAAGTGGGCATGCTGTAGCATCACAATTATTAAGATACTCACCCATGCTGAACTGTGTTGGGTACAGGTTGAAGCAGATGCATTGCTTATATAGTATTTTTAGTATTTGAGAAATATTGGGGTAATGGCAATTTAAAATGTGTGGAATATATTGTTGTTAACTGTCATTGAAACAATTTAAAAAAATGGCAGGCTCAGGTCAATCAATTCCCAATTCAAGGCATAGTGGGAAAGCCAGAGGGTCTTTAAATCACCATTTAAAGAGATTCTTATCTTTATCAGAGATAAGAATGAGTTAAAACCTAAATTTCAGATAGTATTATAAGATTAGTGGATTTTCAAACAAGTCTGAATTCAGAGCCCTTGTTAGTCTTCTCTCTTCAACTTAGGGCCCTGAGACTTGGGATGGGAACACTGGATGGGTTTGGTTCAGAATGCAGTCTTGTGTTTAAATACCAAAAAGCATTTTATGCTCTGTGGTAGAAGCATTTGCATCCCTGAGACTCTAGTCTAGTGAAAACCAAAGCTGTGGGAAAGGAAAGCACAAGTTCCCCAAAGGAGTCAGTAGGAAGAATAATGAGATTTCCTCTTATGCCTACCCTTTGGCTCCAATCCCATGTCTTCTAATCACAGATGGTTCAGAGTATATTTTCATCTTGACTGGTCACATCTAATCCCAAAGCTAGCATCTCAACTCTATTTTTAAGGGGACATTCCAGTGTTCTACTGGATGGTAGCTTCTCAGATATAGGGTAGGATCGGTGGATTCGCTGGTCATGTGCCCACTGATGTATCCTGCCTCCAACATGAAGTGGGGTCAATAATCCAAGACTACATTATGTAAGATCAAATGTCACTAATCAGACACTCTATGATTCCTGGTGTAGTGGTGACAGTTGAAGCACTGATGGAAACGAAGATAAAGCCATTGGACCACTTCAGATCCAATTATGAGCCATGTTAAATTCAATCTGTCCTGTCAGTAATGCTTTAAATTGGTGGTTTAGTCATCATTTCTGAAAAATAAAAGCGGGGGTGAGGAGGAAGAAAAAGACT